CATCTTCTAATTGTGAAAGTTTTAAAACATTGATTACAAAACTAAATTTTATATCCAGCCCACCACTGTGTACTTCCTTTGCATGCCAGTCTACAATGTTAGCTCATTTCCCAATGGCTGTAGGTCTGTCTGCATACAGAAAATGCCACAGCTTACCCACGGCAGGGCTGTACGTTTGGCTACTTCTCTTTGTCTGCACACCTAAATGCTAGCTGCTCTTCTGACTGGTGTATCAATTCTGTGTTTGTCCTGACTACAAAACACGAAGTCCTGCAGCTGGAGAACCTGGAACACTCTCCCTAGAGTGTTCCTCCAGTTCACCTTCGATCTGTATGAGTTTCTAAGTTCTGAGTGAGGATTTACTTGCCCAGGTTCTTCCCAGAGTCGCTATTCCAGGAGCGTCACTCTCTAACTCCTTCTCTGGGACAAGAAATCATTACACAGTTCACGGACTAGCTCAGGTTTTGTTTTGGCCGCCACGTAGGCACACTCACTGTGGGGACCCAGCAAGCCTTTCCCCCGGTGCGGCGCCCTTCCTCGCGTTCCTTCTGTCTTACTCAGTATGCTTTTATCGTGCTGGAAGCTGACAGAAAATTGCTATAGCCAATCACCAAAAAGTGCTTATTTTTTATGATGTTTTATTTTCATTGCTCAACATTAACATAATGAAACTTTAGATTTTTCTATTAAAACAGTGCCATACATGTGAGGTGTCATGATGGATGACACTCTCGTGTGATGTACATTTTGGTGCTTGTAAAATAAAGATTGACATGAGAGCTCACGGGGTGGGTCCTCTCCGATTTTATTCAGAGGCTGTGTGAAAAGCAGCGCATGTCTCTCTCTCTCTCTCTCTCTCACACACACACACACACACACACACACACACACACACACACACACACCCTGACCCACGCACACGATTAAGTACTATCCTCGCCAAGAGAAAGATTACGAGACACTTATTAGAGCGTGATAGTTGTCATTGAGCAGCTTTGCAAAGCTCCCCGTGCTGGGAGGAATCCAAGGGGCATGGGCCGTGCTTTCCAGAGTGCAGGGACCCCTCTGAGCGGGTGTGACACTGTCACAGTGCCAGCGTTGATTCTCAAAGGCAGCACACGTGGTGTGGGGTTTCTTGGGAAGCAGCGAGCCATTTAAAAGGTATTAATGTTCATCTGTGCGGATAGCGGAAGGCGACAGACTTACGTTCTGGAGTTTACCTATAATGAGCTTCAGCTACTTCTGCTTGGCATCGTTTTGGATGAAATGACACTGAGTTACATATACACTAGCGACACGGCTAGCCAGGAAGCAACGAGTCTGAAACTGAGATCCAGACTTTGTGCAGTGCATGTGCTGTGTCAGATTCGTGGCAGACGCCGGAGGTCCGGGTCCCCAGGGCCTCAGGAAAAGAGAAGCTGGGGGTGCAGGGCCTGCGGCCTTCGCTGCTCTGTTCCTGTCAAGTGTTTGGGGTGCACATAGTCAGGGACCTGACCGTGGATGCCCCAGGCCTGCTCACTGTAGAGAAGGGAAACCCGAAGTGGTTTCTCAGGAAAAGCTGAGGGTCGGTGGCCTCTGTTTCCTGTCTTACCCTGCGTCTGTCTCTGGGGGTACTAGGCTAATCACTCTTCAGACTAGCGTTGTCATAAGGAGCAAGTGGGACCAGGCTGTGGAAACTCCTATTCCGGTATTGGTGGTCACTCTTCTGTAGCTCACTTTGGGGCTGCTTCTCTCAGCAAACCTGTTAAGTGGCTTTGCTTGTGGTGTGCATTTATTTGTTGAATTTAATTAAGTAAGCAAGATTTCATTGGTTAAAGGCACTATTCTTGAAAATAAAAGGTAACATTGATTGACTTATTACCATGTTCCTGGCTTATTACTGAGCGTGTGTGTCTTGGTGTGGATAGTGAGTGTGCATGCACACACAGTTGTGTCATTCTCTATGAGCACCCAGGTGCTAGGCATGACCTTTGTCACTGTGTTAGGGGTAAGAAGGCGGGGACCAGGAGACTGATTCTCCTGTACAGCGCCTCCCCTGCTCAGGGACCGCAGGTCGCAATGGCCTTCAAGACGGTGCAAACTCAGCTCTAGAAATAAAGCTACAGACTGCACCACATGAATGCAAGTAACCCGGTGCTGGGTCACTGAGAAAGAGGAGGCAGAGGCAGAAGAAGAAAGGGGGAAGGTGGCACTTGGGCTGTGAGAAGGAAAGGCGGCCTGTGGCAGGAGCAGGCTGCAGAGCTGTCATTTTTTTTTGCTTTGGTAAGGAATTAAAGTTTGTCTACTCTCTGCTGGAAATGGCTTGCTGGGCTCTGCGCGCACTGAGGTGCCATCTCTGGTTCTGCCGCAGGCTCCCACGACCTCTTAGCCGCAGCCCCTATTTCTGCCCATGTGTGGCTCAGCGCTTGGCTGATCCTTGGTTAGCCCTGGCCGCCGCTCAGGGCTGTAAGTTGGTGACTGACTCAGCTTTGAAGACATTAAGGGGAGTTTGGTGGTTGGAGGAGGGGAGGGGAAGGGACAGGGAACATGGTGTCCCTCGGCAGTCGTGGGAGTGGGTGTTGATACATGTTGGCAAAGCTCTCATGTGCAAACTCCTCTACGACCGCACAACAGAGGAATCCATCCATGGACATGGACTCTGGTCACATTGGCACTTCTAGGCCAGTGACCTGACTCCCCCTCCCATGCTTGGGTTTGGGGCTATGGAGGAACAAAGGCTGGGTTCACATGGGGTCTTTGAGCCCATTTGAAAGGCTAGGGTGAGTTTTGTTCCAGAAGGTGGCACTCAGAATCAGGGCTTCTGAAGAAGCCTGTTTTTTCCGTTTACCAGCAACTCTAGGAGTGGCACATGGAGGTATTTTATTTTGCTTGGTGCCACATGAGATAGCGTCGCAGGGACCAGGCATGTTCACTGCAGTCGGGCCAGGGATGTGGCCAAGTGGATCAAGAGTCACACGACCTGTAGTTCTGGGTTTGGTCCCAGCCATCTGCAAGCTGAGTGCAACATGGCGGCACGTCCTGCCGCGGGCCATGAGGGGCCACGCGTGGCCATGGACCGCCCTGAGGAGTGTCTCAGCACCGTCCTCGAAGTGTGAATTGTTCTGAGGGCTTCCTCCTGGCAGGGTTTGCTCAAAAGCACTCTCACAGCAGTAATGGCACAGTTACTAAAATAAGATCCATCAAAAGCAAAGTAAGTGTCCGGAGAGAGCTACGGGAGTAAATAGCTAAACAAAGGGAGTGCCCCGGAATTTAAGTGCTGGAGGGCCAGAAGACCCTGAAAAGGAGAGTAAAAAAGAAGCCAACCAAGGCAGCTTTCGGTATCCGCCGTCATCCTAAACTTTTAGTGGCTTGCTTGGCAATGCGAAGAGGGAACTGATTAATGGAATTTTGAAAAATAGAAACTTAGAAAAAATTACTCCAGAGAATGTTAGAATTTTAAATGCCTGCTTAACGATATGTACTTAGTCCAATTACATGAGTGTTACTCTCTTTACGGTGGAATTCTTGTATCTTCTTTGTACCTTGGCTTATGCACCTGGATAAAAGGCAGGCAAATATGTTAGCTCATCTTATCAGTGAACTTCGCCGGCCAAGTGCCTCCCATAAAGCCAAAGCGAGGCCGTCACGGCTGGACAGCTGCAGTCCTTTGTGGGATCTGCTATGGTGGACTGTGTGTCTCTTTGTTGGTGTGGATGTCCTGGAAGTCATCCTGTCCCCTACTCAGCAGGCCTATAGCACCCCTTGGCTGTGACAAGACCAAAATGTCCTTAGCTACTGATAGTGCCCTTGCTGGGGCAAAACTGTCCATATTTGAGACTCACTGTTTCCCAGTGATTTCTGACAGCCTTTAGTTTCGGAGCTCAGAATTCAGAAAGTTCTGGACAGTACAATTAGTCAGAGATGGGTAATGTGTCTAGAGGGAGCCAGCGGGTGTGTACTTTGTGTTCCTGACACATCCCTTTCTTGTGCTTTCTAGCTTTCTCCCTTTGATTTGGGTTACGACTCCCCTCATAGTGAGAAGAACAAGCTTCCAGGCACAGGTTGTATTCTGAGGGTCTCTGCATGGCTCTCCCTCCTGCATGTCTGCAGCCCCGCGCATGTCCATCTGTGTGCTGGGTCTCAGTACTACGTGCTCATGGAGGCTGCCGAGGCGGACAGAGGCACAGCGCTCCCTACTGGTTCCGGCACCTGGGCATGCTTAGATCCGCAGAGGGCATCCTGCCCTCGCAGCTGCACCCCAGCTCGGTTCTCTGTCTTTGCTGCCAGCTCTCATCTGCTGGGCATCCTTTTGGGTCAACTTTATTGTCTTCCTTAGTTTCCTCTGTGAATCAGTTACCAAATCTTACCACATCCAGCTCTGCACTGTCTCCTGTTTCACGATGTATCTCAGACACTCCAAGACGCCCCCAGGGGCAGCCTTTTTTCATTGGTGAACTGTCACCACTGTCCACCTGGCCTGCCTGCCTCAGTCTTTCTATGGGAGCTGATTTATGTGAATTCCCCTGTTCACATCCCCAGAGCAGCCCTCTCCAACCATGCTTTTAGCCCTGTGTAGACTGGATCTGGCTTTTTCAACTATTTTCCAATACTGGAAAAACAATGGCTTCTTTATAATTTTTACCCTGAGAAGTCCCAGCTCGTCAGGATTTTATCTACTTTTTACAAGTAGTTTTTTTTCACTTCCAACATTTTTTTTGTTTCTGTGTTTTTGATAGTTTTTATTAAAGAAATACAGATTTCCTTTAAGATATGAGCATACACAAGAATCTGAAGCTCTACGTCTACTCGAGTACTCTGAAGTTACTTGGAGGATTATTATAGAGAACTGCACCACGCAGCCCAGCCGGCTGTGAGACCCTTCGCGTGGGATTCACGCATCCTTGAGGTGGATGCTGTTTATTTTCCTTGTTGGAATTCAGCACACATCAGACCTTCTTTACCTCCTTTTCCTTACCGTGGGACATGAATGTGTAAATTTAGTTTCTGTATTTTGAAAAGATGGCACATAAATCTTAATCTGCATTCCACTTCCCTGGGTACTGGAAACCCTTGCTCGGGGAGGCGGATCCTACTCAGCTGCAGCATGGTGAGGACATGGAGAATGGGAAGAGCCGTGGTGAGTTAGTGGCATTCATTGTCATGCCACTGTGTCATGCCACTCACGGGAGGGGTGTGGACACATGCTGAAGCAGGTCCGTGGGGGCCTGCTGGAGCCCAGGCTGGTGGTAAACAGGAGCTCTTACCAGCTGATGGGTTGTGTGAACCGAGTCAGTGGTCTCAGTCTGGTTGTTAGCAGACAGGTGCCTACATCTCTAAACATCCTGACAGTGGGCTCTAACTGGCCCCTGTGCTGGCAATCTCAGCAGAGGGGCAGGGGGAGTGGAGGAGGGGACTTCGCTGTTGGCACAGATGAAGAGGTCTTTAGTACGGCTGCAAGAACAGCAGCTTTGGAAGATCTAGACGTTTCCAACGTGGAAATTCACGTCCAGCTATTCTTCCTCCCTCTCTCCCTCTCACATTCCTTTCTTGGTGGTTTAGCACTGGCCTGTAGAACTGGACTTTGTCCTTTCGAAGGCACAAGAGCCCTGAGAAAGACCCTGAGCTTGAGTATCCATCACTTCCTTCTCTCTGCTCAACCCCAGCCTTCTTCCTGTCCCAGGTGTCCTCCGGGGGAGGACACTCGGTGTGCTTGCACATTTCTCCGCCACCTGTCCAGGCCTGTCTTCAGTGGTGCACATGGTTTGCTCGTGCTGGGTGCATTCTGTGCCATCCCAGTGTCTTGCCCCTGTCCTGAGGCCTTTTGGATGGGGCCTCTGCTGAGGTCCCTTGAGCATGCTGGCAGCACGCACTGGGCACTCTCCCGTGAACAAGAGCAAGCAGGAATGAATGAATCTGGCTTTCTGAGCCTGTGGGAGACAGATAGCTGCCTCTCCGAGTGACAGGAGGGACCACCACGAGAGACCCAGATTCTAGGAGGCTGGGGGCAGGAATGTGTAATCCGTTCCACTTGGCGCCTTTGAAATTCTCCCCCTCTGTTTTGAATGGCTCCTTAGCGTTCCAATCCATGCAGGCAGCCGCGCGCAGTTTGTGATGGGCACAACTTAGCTTTCTAACTGCAAGCTCGTTCCGCTGTGGGCTTGGAAGGGCAGGCTCTGTGCTCAGTCCGTGTTTAGAATCTCGCCGCTGCCCAGCCAGTGTTTTTCAGCTCTCAGGGATAATATAAGGAATGCGATTTTGGTGATCTTAACCAGTACAATTATTTAAGACAAAGGGGAGAATTTCATAAATATGAAAAGCCACAACTATATTTTGATTCTGCAAATAAATGTATTAGACCTATGTTACTCACGTATATATTAGAACTGAGTGAAGGTTTCTGTTTTGCTACTTTTCAAATTATAATTTATCATGAAAATTTTAAAAAGTACTATTGTAAAGTTATAGATCTAAAATTAACTGGCAAAAATATGTCTAAAAGATAGGTTAATCGGGTCCTTATTTTGATTATTTAATTGAATAGTTGCTAATGTTCAAAATTAGGCTAGTAGATGTAGCAAATGGTAAACACGAGTTAGTATACAGTGACAAAAATGGGATAAATGAACCATCATGCAGTTTGAAAATTCTAAAGTTATCTGTTAAGGGTTTTGACTGGTAAAATGCTCCCTCCTGTTCGGTCTATGATTTTTGACTAGGGTATTTCTCTAGATTTATTCTGAGGGAAGAAAAAGTATTACCTGAATATTGATCAGAAACAATTTCCCAAATGTGCCAATTTCCATGTCATTTGCCAAGATGCGTTTCTTTATTTCATGTTTGTTTTGCGTGCTAGACTAGCAAGTAAATACACAGCAAATGTTTGAAACTCCTTTTAGTATCAGAACCAAACTCCTCTCACACCCACTGTCAGGAATACGCTGCGTATTACTAGATGCCCGCTGCGGAGTATTTTTCAAGGTGATGGAAAATCCAGTTTGTAGTAGGAGACCCCGGTGTTTGAAACAAAGTAGATCAGCTCAGAGATTGCAGTCTTTAACAGGAAGACAGGAAGCACAGACATGTCACTGTACCTCTTCGTTCTTTAATTTTATAAGTAATTTACAATAGCTTGATTTTTGAAGTGTATGGGAAGTGGTGTACATCGGGTGGGATTATTACCGAGATCACAGCCTAGTGCAGAGCTTACATGCATATTAGTGCTGGCAGGTAATTCAGATGCTTTTCAAGCAGCCAGTTTCTTTTAAGCACCCTCCAGGCATTGTTTTCGGTAAAGCATACAACGTGGAAGATCTAACATAGACTTTGTACCCACAATAATGGATTTGTGAGCCGGTCCATGTGGGGCTCCCTACCCCCTGCACCTCAGTAGGTTTTGCTTTGGTGTGTCTTGTTCTTACCGCTGGAGACTCTTTAGATCCCTTTCCCTGATGCTCTCTGCAGAAGTCTCTAGAATGCACAGCTCACAGAATGGTTTTAAATTTACCCCCTAATGCAGCTGATGGGGCCTCCCCCCAAAGCTTTCGCATTCCCTTAAGACGGATTTGTGTTCCTCTTTCTGTTTGATGAAGTTGTAATTAGTCCTGGGGAGCACTTGTTTCCAATTAAGCAGGAGGAGGAAATAACAACCGAAGTTTTATAACAAATCATTAGACATTCTGATATCAGGTCAGTATGTTAGGATTTTTGTGATAAAAATCTGTGTGTCAAAAGTAATTCTGCCCATCCTTATGTATTTGTTAACATTATATTTCATACCTACTGGTATTTCCTAAGAAGATAAATATCTTTCCTCAGATCTCCAGAAAGCTAGAATTTCTACCGTGCTTATCCACAGTATTTTGCTGTTACTTTATATCACACAGACAATAAAATGCAAAATATTCCTTCTAACATGATAGCTTGTGCCAAATGATCACAGAAGTGAGAGGCATTTTAAATGGAGAAAATCAAAGTTCTCTTTTAAAACAGACAAGGAGAGTGATATGTTAGCGAAGCAAGTATTTGACTTAATTGATCACTTTGTGTTATACGTTTGAATAGTGGTGGTCTCTGCCCGTAACTAACTTTAAAAAAATAATGTTTTACCATTTTTAAAGTTTTAGACCCTAACATTTAAAACTGTGATGTTTAACTTTGTGTGTTACCCACTCTACAAAAGAAAAATAGCTCAATGTAGACGTCAAAATACCCAAGAGCTAAGAATGTGCAAAAATGCCTCTTTAGTAAATGTAGACTCTTCAAAGGGAAGAAAAATGAAACCTGCTGTTTAATATGAAATAGCTTTTGGTTAGATAGCTCAGGGTTTTCACATTAACTTCTGTTCTTACACTGGTTAGAAACAGACACCCACCCCTGAGCGGACATGGACAGTGTCTTCGGAGTGCAGCCCTGGTTGCTTGGTGCTACAGAGCAGGCTGGTACAGTGATGAGTGAAAGGTGCCCCGAGAGCTTTTAAAATTCTGGCTGAAGATGGAGAAGGAGTTCATGTTTGTTTGACCTTAGATGCCCGTTCTGACTTTTGCAGGCCCCACATCAGCACTAGTAATGAAAACCTACTGGTATACTTTATCGGTAGGGATGCATTTTTCATATTGAGGTTCCAAGTAATTGCTGAGCACTCTTTGATTGAGAAAATGGGTATGCGCTGCACATTTGATAGAATATTGTAAGCTAGGCCAAAAATGTACTTTGGCATTTGGAAGCCAAATAAAAAGTTTTCCTGGGTCCCCTACTCTGTGTGTGTGTGTGTGTAAGAGTGTTATTAGTCAACTGTTTTCTGCCACATACCTATAGGATTAAACATTTGTATGTAGAATGTTACACTGCTTTTCAAATAAATTTTCCTTCTAGATACAGCAAAAAGAAAGTTTGCTTGGTGTCTAATCAAGCAACACTGCCTCTCTGGGTTTTAAGGAGAACTCAGAAAGTTAGTTTTTTATTCTTCTTCATTTGAGTATTATTTTTTAATTGCAGCATATTAAACATAAAATCTGGTACAATCTTTAAAAATAAATAGGACCTAACTATAAATGGGCCCTGTTGTGTTTTTATCTTTGACAAGCAAGTAATTGCTTCTCAAATTTATCAGTTTGTTTATGCAAAAACCATTTACCAAGCCTAGCTCAAAAGCATCAATTTCATCATTATCATCTTATTAATTTAGCCAAGCTATAACACAGCTGATTATTCCTGAGTAATATCCTCTGCAGCACATCATGTGTGGCAAAACCATCTGTACAGTACCTATTTAATAAATAAACCCTCGGCTAAATGTCTCTGTTTATTGAGAACTAATGTTTATAGAAAATATAATGGAACTCAATAAATAACTCAGCTTCATCAACCTGCATATGAATCAGTGCGAAGAATGCTGACATCACCACCTTTCAAGTACCAGAGAAAGCAAAATTACCCAAAAGAGCTATAGAGCCAATATTAAGGCATTAAAGCTGCAATGAAGGCATATTAATGCTTAAAACTTCATTGTTGGCAGTGGAATTGGCACAATGGACATATTTTATAACTCTAGGAATACTTAGGCTTTATGACCGCTTCTTTGTTGACTGCCTTGCACTTAATGTAGCTTTCCACTTTAAATAAGAAAAAAAAACCCGCAAGATCTTTAAAAAAAAAAACCCAGGAAAATTGCTGATTCTAAGCATTCATTTTTAAAATAATGCAAAGTGCTGATTCCAATTGTTCAGATTGAAGGGGAAAAAGCCAACTTCTTTAACTCCATGCTTCCTGAGCTCGTATTAGTAGCAACTGGATATTTTGAGGCAAAGGTCTCAAAGCAAAAAGGAAAATCACAGCGCTCTTTTCTGTTTTTCAAAGAGATTATTTTGAATGACATCATTAGTAGGAGAGTGTGAGATCGATCTAATTGTTTTACAAAGAAAAGCCGCGGAGCCCGCCAGGAACCCTATTAATGTCACACCCCGTGTTAAAGGTGCACAGTTGTCTCCACATCCATGTGGATTCTCACCACCGAGTGTCTACACGTTTCAGGTTAATACTAGGACAAATCTCATGCGGCAAAGGGACTGTTTTGAAATAAATGAGGAAAATGGGTCCATTTCTTGCAACTTCTTTTAAAGTGTATCTACCCCAAAATAAAAGTTGACTGAAAAGAGCGAGACATCGTTTTGATTCGTGTGCGTAGCCCTGGCCGAGGGTGGACAAGACAAGGGGACATCAGGTCTTACCATTTTGAGACCAGAAATCACAATCCCAATTTCCTCTAATTCTGGGTGCCACCCCAAGCCCCTCGCCTAGCAGCTTTCCATCTTCCCACCTCCTGGCACCCACGGGACTTCAGAGGTCCACCAAGTACAGGCCAGATGTGGTTTGATGTTTGAGAGGTGGAAGGCGCCAACCTGTTGCTGGAGACTCGGCCTCTTCTCCGCCTGGCTTCTGGGGCTCCTCACCCAGCTCTGGGGCTTCCTTACTGGCACGCTCTTTTCAGGTGGGCACTCTTAAACTCACACTTGGAGGACACTTGCCCAGGGCCAAGAGATCCTTACAGAATTTAAATATCAGAGCACAGAGTTGCTGCTGATAATTCCCCAAAGCCAGCCTAAAGACAGGGTTTTTTTTTTTGTTTTCTTTGGTGCCGTTATTGTTCAAAACATTTATTCTAAAATCTCACCAGAGAAAAGTGTCCCAAGCCAAGAAGGGCAAGGTCCCATAATCTGTCTACATCAGCTTTCTTCCCTCTGTGCGGGCTTCATTATGCTGGCTGCACAGTTCTGGGTTTTGTTTTGCTTTTTCATGTTTCAGTTTATGCCCCGGGCTCTGTGGTCACAGGCCCCTCACTCGCTAACCCGGGAGGGCTCCGGTAACCCTAACACAATCCCATTCCTCCTAAATCAGGCAGATGCCTCAGACGGAATGGAAACCACATCAAGAGAGCAGGAGGAGCGGGCAATGGTGCCAGTAATTGCCCTGTGGGGCCACTCTGCTTAAACAATCCGGAGCCTGCTGGCTCGGCACCCACACGGCCCAGAGGGGCGCAGTGCTCTGCTCGAGGTTGGCTGAAATTGCAAACCAGGGAGCCCACCACATCGAACCCCCGTCTGGAGCCTGAGCATGCCCTGTGCCCTGCCACGTGTCCCCAAGGACATCTGAGTCCAGCGTGTCAGCACTTTGGAACAGCTTGGGTTTGGTGGCCAATGTCAGCCTCCCACATACTGTCCGAGTTGGCCCAGACCAGTGCCAAGGCTGCCCGGCTGACTGGCTGGGCCACCTCCCGTCCACAGCTGTGGCTCAGGAGCAGGGAAGCAGGAGGAAGCGGGCGGAGCAGCCATACACTGACAAGTGGCTCCCCGATGACCCCGGGATGACTGAGGAAAGCCGTGTCTGTTTCTTGGGAGTTGACAACAGTGTCTGGTCTGCCATCGAGAGATCCATTAAGTCACTCTCATCCCAACTTAAGAAATCCATTTCAGATATTTCTGCCGAGAGAGGTGACATCAGACCTTACCATTCTGAGACAAGAACTCAAAATCCCTATTTCAGCACTCCTGAGACGGGCACCAGTGAGCCCACGGAGAGTCGGGTGCGCCTCCCGTAAAACACGGTCATTTGGGTAGTTTTGAATTCATTTGCCTGACACAGCCCTAAGCAAATTCCCCTGGGGCCTTTCCTACAGGACAGCAGTTTAGTGTCAGGTGCCAAGAAGCAGACAAAGACACCACTGAGGGTGGCGGGTCTTATCCAAGGTCGTGTTAATGTCACCGCCACCAGCACAAGGCAAGTGTCTTGCATTGGCTCCACATATTCCCGAGAAATGCAGACACTGGCCAATCGGATGCACACCTGTGGATGAATTTTGGAGGGACAAAGGGAAAAATTATAAAGTAGGCGGCACATTTCATTTTATGGTGGAAGCATTTTTACAAAGAATACAATAATTTATAATTTCAAAAATGTCACGATGAATGCCAGTTGGATGGAAAATGGTAGTGTTATTTGGGCAATGTCAGCCACTGTTCATTCATTTTAATATGGAGCTGTTTATGAGGTGCCTCCATGGCACTAAGCACTGGGGCACCTTGTGAGCTCTGCCGTAAGAAAGGCCATGAACACAGAACAAGACAGAGGTATTGACTCTGTTTTAAGACTGCGCCTTAAAACACCCATGGCGGGAGAGACCATGGCCCAGGCCAAGGACTGAAAGAGTATCACCCCCGCCAGTAGCTGGCACGGAGCTCTGGTGAGACATGAACCTGGAATAGTTAGCCGGGTTTGACGTCTGCAGCTTTGATGGTCAGGGCAATGTTACGGTCAATCCATGGTGTCCATGGATTGGATCCTGTTCTTGGTTTGGGAACTTTCTACTGAGTCCCTTGGCAGAAAATATTTTCAATCATGGAGCATTAGAATACAGAGTCCACCAAAGAACTGTCTCCATGCTTTAATAGTCGGCACATTAATAAGTGTCTGCAAGCTGACGGCCCCCGCTTTGAGTTCATCTTGTCAGTGTAGAGGCCTACGGTAACTTGTGTTTGTTTTAGGACGTCTCAATACACTTAGTATTAAAGTACGCACACAAGGTTTCCCGATGTACAGTTTTTGGTGGAGGCTGATAATTTATTAAATGTCTACTCCACACACCCAGTGGGACCTGGAAAAACAGCGACCCACCACTGCGTAGGCACAACCTTTGCAGCGATCCGAGGACAAACTCCAAACAAACAGGAATAAACTTTGGGAAGTTGGTTGTGGCCTAGGAAGTCAGAACTCTTAAACATAACTTCGTGAAGAGCCCGCCCATCTTATAAAGTTTCCCTCACACTCCAGACCGCTTACTTTCTAGAGGCTACTGATTGCCTTAAGATGTCTTTGTCCACACGGCTGAGTTGAGCAACATGCAAGCCACTTTTTGTGCAGAAAGGAGAAAGATAAGGTGTACAAATATTTTCTGACTTTTTAAAAATTTACAGTGCAGTTTAGTTCAAGGAGGCAATTTCTACTTACCACATTTTAAATTATCTGTGTTTATTTTAACCTCTTTCCAACACACCTGTGGTCCCTGTGCAAGCTTGGTCATGGGCTTCCCAACGCTGCCACTCAGGCAGGGGCAGGGGTGCAGCATACGGATGAGGCTGAGCTGGGGCACTCCCAGGGGTCCCTATTATTCTGCTGTCCTCTCTGCCCCCTCTTTCAGATTCTGTGCTTGGTGTGTCCGATCTGAAGACTGAGCACCGACAGTTCCCGAGTGTGCAACAGGAGGCTCTGTCAGGGCCTCTGCTCCCCTCCAGTACATCAGTGCGGGGCAGCGGCTTGGAGATTTTACAGTCAGGATCGTTCTACTAAAAAAAGTCTGGAGGATTGTTATTGCATGTGTGCGTGTGTGTGGTTCTGGGGACTGAAGCCGGGGAGCACCGAGCTACGGCCCCAACTCTATTTCTGAATTTTGAGACAGGGTCTTGCTAAGCTGCCAGTCTGACCTCGGACTTGCTATGTCCCTGCCTCAGCCTCCTGTGAAGCTGGACTTGCAGTGTGTGGCACCGTACTAGGCTCATTCCTGCTTCTCAGCAGCCCGAGGCTGGTTCCCATTGCTTTAACCATGTCCTTCAGCTATAAGATGAAGACTGTGCCTGTCGTGGGGTAAATCTCGCCTACTTTTTAAAAGAATGTTTTGTTGGCTTCTTTTTGAATGGAGGGGTTTAGGTGACATAGCTGCCTTACGGTGGGCGGCTCAATTGCTTTAAGAAAGGAACTTAGTGAATGGTCACCGTCTACTGGATCATAGGGTAAGTGCCAGCCTAACCAGCGTAGCCGCCGAGCCTGGTCCTTGTGGTCCTCTGTGTTGCTTCAGGCACTGCATTAAGCTGCAGGTCACTAATGCTGCATCCGACGTCACCTGGGGAACAGATGGAGAAAAGGGAGCTCCCAGCCCAGCCAGGAGGCCACTGGCAGAATTACAGTAATGCTTTCAGGGGTGTGTTTTGTATTAAATAAATGCATTAAATAAATAAATGTCTGGTCAGCGCTAAGGGAGTCTTCAAGACACTGTTAAGGTTTCACCAGCTCAGTGGTTTGCAGCCGTTTTGGGCCCTTTTAATAATGCATCCTTCGTGGTGTCTACATGAAACTCGCGGCTAATGCCTACTAATGTCCATCATTAAGCCATGCGCACTGTACCACGGGAGAAATAATGTAAAAAGAAAGCATGTAATAGAATCCTGGCTACATAACCAGCAAGTGCTCTGGGAGAGCTATTTTTATCAAACAGAGTAAGAAGTCCACTGGGGCCTTGGGTGGGCGCCACCCCCCTGGGAATGGTCCTGGTGGCCAGGGTTTGCAAGGTCCCTGACAAACGTGCTCTACCCTCTGCCCTGTGCCGGGCCCCAGGCGCGGTGTTTTATGGATTAAATGCCTTACAAATATTTACGTCTTGAGTTTAAACAGTGAGGAAGAAGGGAGGAAACGGACCTTGTCCGGGCTGGTGGCAGGTCGGGTTAGGGGCCTGAGAAGACAGGGTGACCTCAGCCCCTGCCCTGGAATGCATGCACTCGGGCTGGGCTCTGGGTCTCCACCTGCGTTGCAGTGTGCAGAGATAAATTCCCGGGACAGTGCTGATGAGCCTCGTTCTAGGCCACCCGGGCAGGAGTGGATGGAGAGCCTCCTGCATTCCCGGTAAGAGGCTTCGGGCTTCGGAAAATGAATGCCAACCCTGCTGTGGTGAATCTTGAGAATCTTATTTGCTTTATAAACAAGGTGAATGCAAAAGACGACTGTGCATATTTTTAGAACTTCATTTATAAGCCATGCTGTTTATAAAGCATTATTGTTTTAACATTCGTGTGACAAAATGATCTTGATTATAGGTGCTCCAATTGTATTTGTTTTCTTTTGCGAGGATTGCAAATTAGAACGTATTGAGAACGGAAATACACTGAGGAGGAAGAAGTGTTTCTGCCAGGCAAGATGAATTATTTTTAGTTTGGGGCTGAACTCTTTAAATATCTAATATTGAGTTTTGTGATTTCTGTTCCTGCTCCCTGCTATCTTTTAAAAAAGCTATTGTGACTTAAATTGTGCTGGGAATAATGTAATAAAACAAATTAATTATATCCTTCACCGGAAACATGAAAAGCTGTCTTACTACCATTATCTTCTACTAAAATTATTTCCAGGCATTTTAAAAAATTTGCCTTGCAATTTTTTAAGTTTTAAGATTATTCACCAAAATTGTTTGCAATTTTTTCATTAGATTTATTTTTATATGCTGTGCTTGAAGTTTTCAACCATAATTAAAATCCTAATGTGTCTTGTGCTCTGTGCCCTTTCAGGAGTGTACATCTGACAAGATTTTAAATATAGAGTAGCTATCCTGGTTACAGACAGCACGGACTTCCCGGTGTACCCAAGACTAATACAGGTTTTCTGAGTTTATATATTTACATTTACTTTCTAAAGGGGTAGTTGAGGAGAAGCAGAATAAAAGACTCCCCACGTTTTATTTTAATATATTGCATGGCTCGTTGCTTTGAGGGGGAAAAGACAGGTATTCTCACACACAAAGACCCCCAGCTGTGGGTGACCCTGTACTTCTTTCTCTGACTAAGGACCTCACTCCATAGCCAGTAAGTCCTCTAGTCTCGGCCTTACGAAAATGGATCGGCCAGCCAAGCGAGCAGCAGAACCCCCGCGCAAGTCAGGGAGCAGCAGCATTGCTTAGGTGACCACGGATTCCACGATGGGTTCATAGCTCAGTTAGTACCTCCACCTGCAGGATGCTAAACGAGGGGTTTTGTTCATTTTTCAAGCTGATTTGTTCTCTTAACTGCTTTTAGTGCTGTAATACCAATGTTTTCTTTTTTTAAAAAAAATGAGAGACTTTGCAAGTCCCTGAGGATTCTTTCTTTCTTTTAGAGTTAATGATTTTCTTAGCACATTTGAAGTAAACAGAATGATTGAGAAAACAAACCCTCCTTCGTGTTTTCAGCTTGGGGTGATAAGAAGCTTGCCTTTTGCTTCCCAGCAGTATTCAATCCTACAGGTTAAAAGAGTGGACTGTGCGTTGCATTCCACAGAAAGGTTTCCAAAGGCAGAAACCTCCCGTTCGGGTGTGCTGTTTTGTGGGGCATAAATCCAGCTGGACACAGAATCATTCGAACCAACTTTGGATTTTTAGTGTGATTTCTTTGCTTTATTTTATATGTGACCCCGGCAAAGCCACAGCACAGCTCCTGATTTAATTTCCCTGCAGACCCCTTCTGAGGCTCGCAGGTGAGCAAAGGTCAGGCGGGAGGGCCTTCTCTCCCAAGTGTTCTCAGCATGTGCAAATGGCCCTGCTCCTTGTGTCCACAGAGAGGAGAGCCTCGCCCTGTGGGGACTACCGGAGACTTTCTGATGCCCGGGGACAGTAGAGTCACAGGCAGTCTGCAGAAAGCCTGGTACTGACCCAACAGAGCTGTGAAACTAGAAGCATGTGACAAGTGTGTGTGACAGTTGTGGCCGCAGCTACCCAGACCCAGTGCCACCCCGCGGTGGGGAGTGCGGGGCTGTCGCCCGGTGTTGCTCTGGGAGTCCAAGACAGTCTGGCAAGGGACCCTGTAGTGCTGTCCAGAGAATCCCAAACTGTCCCCCACAGAACTCAGCTCTGCGTTTCCGGCCCAGACGACACTCCGATTAAATTCAGGGTGTGTTTCTCATTTTAGAAAGCTGTGCGTGTGCTGCCATGGTCTTTTCTTAGATAAAAACATAGCCACACTCCTTCCCTACAAAGCGAAACCAAACACATTTAGAACACATGTGGGCCATTTCTCTATGGGAAAGGCCATTTGCGGTTAACACAGAAAGTATTTATGGTTTCACTGTTAATTGTGGTTTCTTTGTATTAGCCAAAAAAGGTAGCGTTTTTCATTGTAGGAAGAGTAAGAAAGCAATTGCCTTTCTAAAAACTGTCTGTGTTTTCTGGAGGAAGTAACTGAATTTATGATCCGTCTAATACCAAAGGAGTTTATACAACTAAAACTGTGTTTCCAGCTTGAATGGAAGTTTACTTAAATTGTCTTAATTGTACTTTGGTACATTGCCATGAGTCAAAAGGCATAATCAATATATATATATATGATATAGGAACAGTTTATTTTTTATTCATATTTGTTATCTAGGGCTATTAAATGTCTCTTCTGGACGAATGCTTTTGAAAACTGATACTTTCATTTTTGAGAAATTGTTAATTTTACAATTTCTTAATTTGTAAATGCTAATTCATTCACCCAAGTCAGTGGGCTAGCTGCCTGGGTCACTTGTTTTATTCTCTTTGTCTTATCTATTTCTAATTTCCTTTCTCTTTTTGAATTAAAAATTGTATAATTGTTAGAGCATTGAAATATTTTATTTCATAGTTTAAAATATGTTTATATTAAACCATTAAAATAGTTTAATATAATTTCCTTTCTCTTTTTGAATTAAAAATTGTATAATTGTTAGAGCATTGAAATATTTTATTTCATAGTTTAAAATGTTTTAATTTTAAGTTACATTTTTCAAGGAGTCTGTAATGTGAGTGAATGAATTTAAAAGGTTAACTAAATATGAATGTACATTTGTAGAGTCTGTACACTAATTTTTTTAGCAAGCAATTCCACAAATACTGGTTGTTAAGATCTGAAAAGTTCACATACATAGTAGAAGGTGCGAAGGAGACAGCTGGGAATATTAGGTCAATAACACAAACACTAAGAGATTAATATGTCAAGCAATATTTCTAAGTATATTGGCTTTCATTACCTACAAAGAAGAATAAATTTTATAATATCATTACTATGCAATTTTAAGAATTATAAGCAAAATATATATATGTAGTGTTATACTTTATTAAATTTCATAAGAAAAACAAATCAAGCCAGGAACTAATCTCTAATTTCTGTGTGTGAAAAACATTCTTTATGAAAAGGCTTGTAAGTATAATTTATCAATTTAATCACATACATTTATGTGTATCTCATGAATGTATGTGGAATTGAGTCTAAATGAATATTTAATGATGTTAAAAGTAGTTTTCCAAAGATCTGCATTTATTCAAAGTTCATGTAAAGGCTGTTAATTTAGATAAATACTGTTCTGTCCATTGTTAAACATTCATGTAATTCTGGGTTTTAATTTAATAGCTGCAGACACCAAAAACTGTAGTACATTTAAACTGGTCAAATATTAGCATTCAAAACCACTCCAATAAAATATTTAGAGATTTTGATACATATTTTGCCACATCTTTGACTTACCGACGGAAAATGAAACTCGAATTTATCATTATACACAGAATTTTAAAGCTTTGATTAGCTGACACACTGTAAAAATTTCTGTCTCAGTAAAATGCATTTCATACAATGAATAATACTAAACATCAGCGTGGTCATATTGTTTGATATATGCCTATATAAACTTATGGGTTATTTTAAAATTTATTGATAACTGTAAGAAATGATTTTCATGCCTTCTAGTGATTTTTATGTTTAAAATTCTTAACAGTTTTAGCGATGGAGTTTTATAAAATGGAATAAATGATCTTCTGCCTACAACTCACCTAACTTCATTTTAATGAATATATTGCATTTTCTTTTTTCTTTACGTTGCTAACACATCAGATGCAAATCACTTCTGGCCCTGGGTACCCTGGGTACAGGTGTTTTTTTGCATAGCAGAACAAATGTACTTGTTTTTACTGTTATTTTCATGTACATTCAAATGGTGGTGTGGAGCAGACTCACAGCAAAAGCAGATTTTGCTAAAACCGAGATGCTTTCGCCAGGGGAGGCAGTAGGTGGTGGTGGTGGGGTGCAGGTGACGCCATGCCAGGTTCCGGCCTCCTGGGCCAGGCCGGACGGGGCAGCAAGCTGGGCCCGCGCCTACTTCTCCTGCACACCTTGGTCCGCTGCGTCGCCGCCGGCCGCCTGTAGAGGGCACTGCTCAGCTGCCACAAAGAAACCCTAGTTAGGCGTCTTTTCTGCGGCTCTGAGATGTAGTTAATATTCATTATTTCTGCAAAGCATTCGGTTTAAAAAAGAATTCATAGTTCATCTTTAAAAAACGTAGAGGCATAATTGAGACAGAAGAAATCCCTCTTAGGTATCACGCGGACTTTCGGATTCCTGAGGATGTTAATAAAAAGGCACAAACCGCACTGTGCAAGGCCCTGCTAGTCCGCCCTCTTCCTCCCCTCCTGTGCTTCTGGAGCTGGGGTGCATTTGCAGCACCCAGATTTCATGACTGTGCCCAAGCCTGGCTGTCCCTTTGCCTCTAGGGCTCCCAGAGAGCAGGGTGTGGAGGGTGATTACGTTTGGGGAGAGGAACCGCAGAGCTTGGAATTCTGTGCCCACCCCAGAGCTTGTAAACAGCTTATCTCTAATGGGGGTGAAGACTGCATGTGAGGTTGTGTGTGGCCCGCTCTCGCCCGCCCCATGGGAGAGCCTCCTGGGTGGCAGGTGGGGCTGTGGCCTGGGGGCCCCGGGGCCCTGCGGCCTGGCACAGCCCCCGTCCACCCCGGGGGCTCCCCCTCTTCCCGCAGAGCTGCCCTCCCACCGGGTCTGCTGTCTCTTTGCCCCTGGTGCTCTCTACCCGAAAGGGTCTCTGGCTGTGCTTGTGCAGGGGGACTTCAGCCCCTCTCCTCTCCAGATCTCAGTGCCACCCACACTCTGAGAAACCTCTGTGCACGCTCAGCTTCCTTCCCCACCAGACATGGGCCTGCGGACCTCCTCAGTAGCCGCCACCCCACCAACCCCTCACATCAGGTTGCCCTGCTAGGAAGGGGGTTTTCTCAGGCCAACGCTTTGGTTCAGAAGACACGGGAGCCTCTGTCACCACTTGGCCGGTCATCCTTCCCCTTCACTTACACCTGGACATCAGACCGGCCACAGTCAAGTGACAGCCCGCTCAGAGCTCACCCCGTCCGCGTCTCAGCATGAGAGCCCCAGCCGCTCAGGGGCCCCGAGACTCCTCCCGGCTGGTCCCTGGCTCTCTGCTTGGACACAGATCGTGTCCAGTCTCCTGTGCCTTGAAGATGTTTTCTGGTGTGAACTCGCTCCTCGGTCATCTCACACCTGGCCTCGGTGTTCGCTTTAACAGATTCTGCGCACACTGGTGTCTCGACTGTTCCTAAACACCCGGTGCGAGGTTTGCTGGACAGTGAGCAAGTCTGTTTGTTGTGAGATTGGTAGTGTCTGGGGCTGACGGGAGTCGGGTCTCAGGAGAGGATGCTGAGCCCTCTCCGCCTCGGCGAGAGGCAGATAAAGCACCGCCGACTTGAGTGGACTTTCTTGAACCGGAACAAATTTTACTCTGAGTAGGAAAAATCTGTAAAAGTCTTATTTGGTGGGAGATTTGGGGTGCTTGCAGCAGTGGCTGGTCACAGCCCCGTCCCTTCCGCTCTCCTCTGCCTTCCCGTCTGTCCGGATTAGACGTGTGTCAGGGATGCGGTGTGGCCGCCAGCGCAGCCGAGGTGCCTGTGTCGTCCTGTGAACAGTGATGCTGCTCCGCCTAAGCACCAGAGAAGCCGAGGAGACAGAGACCAAGACTCCCGATGGCGGAAGACTGCCTTCACACGCCTCTGTGTGTTTACTTGTCCCATTTCACAGATAAGGCGACTGCGATTTGCAGAGGCTGTGTAACTTTTCCAATATCTTACACCCAAGAAGTTAGGGCCCTGGGCTCGGAGATTTGCTGTTCCCTGATCTTGTACTCTCCGAACACCTTCTGCCCGTTGTCAGCTCGGCTGAGTGCTGAGCTGCTCCCTGCGGCCAGGCTCAGGGTGTGTGCTCTCTGCTGGCCCCGGCCAAGTCCAGAGTCGTGCGGCAGAGCTGGAACCGTCGTTACCGTGCTGCCTCCTCTGCTGATCTTCTGTAGAGGACTGCTCATCCCCACGGCTCTAAAGCCGCGGGATACTTAACCACTACTTGGCAGAAGCTGCGAGAAGCCAGGGCTTTTTTCTGGATGACAGGACTGGTGCCTAGGACAATAAATCAGAGTTTTATGTATTTTATTCTTTCCTTTTATTTAGGTGGTAGTTCGGTGCTGTCCTAACTTTTCTTTAAAACCTATCACCACTGGTACAGGTCTGCTTTTTACTTGCTGTCTGCCTTTTCCAGCTAAAACGCAGGCTGTGTGACAGGAAGAATGATGCCAGGTTTCTGTTGTGCCTGTGACACTAGGAGATGCCCAAGTACTCAGATGAGCGGCAGCGGTCAATCGAAGCGTCTGAAATTGGGTTATCGGGGTGGCGTGGCGTGGTGGAACCGATCAGGAGCCTCCGAGTCACAGAGCCATCGAGTGAGGAGCGGCACAGAACAGAACAGCAGAGTGTGAGGGCTCCGCCTCCCGAAAACAGACCTCGTGACACGGAAAGCAAACTCGTGCTCGCACGCCAGCCGTGCAGCTTTTAGAATAGGGCAGTAGACTTTTGTGTCAGGGAGCACGAGCCGGTTTCTCAGCATCTGTTTAGGGATAAAGTGGGGCTTCAGTGGAGACGGGTTAGAGCTGGGCGTACTGTGGTTGGGAGGGAACGGGCTGCTTCGTTAGAGAAAGTTTTAGTTGTAGTGTTAATCTAAGATAATATAAGCTGTTAATGAGTTAAAAATACATCTAGGCCTTCATTCAAAGACAATGGAGTATTTTTCTTAGTTTTTAAGCAGTTGCAGAAAACGACCAGTTCATAGGAAAGAACAGAAAGCTTGCTATTGACATATTGCTTTGGGGTTTTGGTAAGCTACTTTGGTCATGATTTCCTCCCTATATGTAGGGTAGAGGAGTGGATTTGAATTCGACCCATCATGATAGCAGAGCAGGGGTTGAAGGCACCAGATTTTCTCCGTCCTCATGCTGAGCTCCTCTGATGGTTCTTAATCCTATTCTCCTTTATGTTCTTCCTTCAAAATCAATAACAATGTTCTTAATAGTAATGTGAGTGTCGATAGTCACTCAACAGGCAGACATGGTGGTGCACGCCTATAATCTCAGCACTTGGGAGGCTGAGGCAGGAGGATCCTTTGAGTCTGAGACCAGTCTGGGCTACAAAGTGAGCTCAAGGACAGACTGCACTGTATAGTGAGACCCTGTCCCAAAAAGACCAAAATAAATAAATAAATAAATAAATAAATAAATAAATAAAGTCACTCAACTCTTCCTGAGTACTTACTATGTGCCCGGTGCTACTCTAAGTATTTTGTGGAACCTCGTTCCCTCAGTAATTCTACGAGGTGGGCACAGTCACACTCACCCTGCAGAAGTAGTGAGAGCACAGAGACAGTGAGTAATGTGCTCAAGGTCACACAGCTGACGTGTGGCTCAGAGAGATGACCACGCCTTCAGGGGGCTGCCAGGGCTGTACTCTGAATTACGTACGAGGCCCCTCTTCCTGTTCAGCTCATGCCATTTTCACTGAGCTTAGCAGTTTTGAAATTTGGTGGGAATGGTGCTTTTCTGTGTGTCACCCTGCATGGCTGCCCAGTGACGCTGGCCAGGTCCTCGCCGACCCCGGCCGGAGGGAACTGCCCTCTCCTGGTACATCAGGAGCCCCTGGAGGCCTGGCTGTGGCTGGCCATTGTCACTTCATCATTTGGCAGCACTGGCAGAGGCAGCTTCTGGGAGCAGAGTTGGGGTTCTGGTGGTGTGATTCCCACCACAGGTGGAGGAGGGAGGGAGGCTGGGGCGGGGCCTCGAAGTGGGGGGGACTTGGAGGTGCAGCCAGGGCTCGGCACGCCCCTGCTGAGAGCTGCGGATTCCAGAAGCCTGGGTGCACTGGGCGACAGTGGAAGAATCACAAGAAAACAATGAAATCAGAGTTCTTAGAGACGGAACAAAGCGCCTGACCCATGTCAGAGGGTACATTTCAGACCGCAGTGGGAGGTTTGCAGTATCAAAGGATTAAATGGTAGGGGGAAATGTACCCAAACCACATCAATCACAGCCGGTCATCGTCCATCTGTCCATCCGCCCATCTCCAACCCCCTCATCCATCTGGTCACAGTCTGTACACTTGGGACCTGGAATCGGGACTGGGAGCCATGGGCTGATCAGAAATGACATGGCAGACATCCTGTGAATCATTTACTTTAACAGGATTAAAAAGACATTTATTGGAAATACAATTTTCAATACCGTTATAATGAAATGTAAGCGGATGCTCTCCTATGTGCCTTTGTCTAGGTTTGCAGTCTCATAGGAAGCCTCAGCCCCTCTCTGCTTCCCATGCTCAGTACTGACAGCCTGCAGACTGGGGCACTTTTTGAGAGGTGGAGGACACCCTGATTTTTCGGACACCCCACCTGAGGGTTGACGATAGCGTGAGCACTCCCTTATGCTTATAAACATTGCGTGTGTGGCCTGCCTGGGCTGAAGACTTGTGCTTGGTGGTCGGTTTCTCTTCCCACCGATTCCTCTCTGGCTGCAGAAAACCTTTGAGGAACATGGAGAGACGTCTCTGAAATCCATGCCCCAGTGGTGGCGTGGGGCCATGAAGCTGAGGCCAGTCCCCTCTGCCGGGACCGAGCGCCTGACTGACAGTGTCTCCGTGGGCGCACAGATCCAGCATGCAGCAGGAAGTGGCTACTTGTCCACAGTTTGATAGTTTGATGGGAAGACACGGACAGGGGTGGGGGTCCTGCTCAGTGGGAGAGCACCATGCGGGAGGCCCTGGCTCCCATCGCCAGCCCGAATGAATACGCAGAGCGCTTTGCCCACATCAGAACAAGTATTCACATGCTGCGTGCTTGCAGACCGGCTTGGGGGACACTGGGGTCCTTGATGCTACTGGCCCACTCCGCCTCTGCCTCTGCCTCTGCCTCCTGCGCCGCTCCCAGAGCACCTTCTCTGCTGGCCGAGTGGCAGCTGCAGTGCTCAGCTCCTTCAAGGCACTGGGGTCAGGACGGCGGACTCAGTGGGCTTGAGTTTCTGCGTGTGGAGAAGCCTTTCCTTCCCTTGATTGCCGGTTTTTCCAGGAGCACCTGGACGGGCAGGGTCGGGGGTGAGCAGCTTCTAGGCAGCACGCAGCCCAGGGTAAGGGAAGGGTCTCCAGCCGGGGCTCCAGTGGTGGATTTTCATTTCATTCCCATGAATGTTTTCGTGCTCAGGCAGCATCTGCACACTGTCACCCACCCAAGGCGCAGGCTGCTTCAGTTTGCTTGGCTTTAGGGAACCGTGATGAAAGTGTGTTACATCTGACTGCAGGACCGGAATGTGACAGGAGTTTTTCCTGCTTAGAAAACTGTCGCCTTCTCTCTGATGCTCACTGTGTGAAAGGCGGACACCTCTAACACGGCGTTTGTCTGGATTTGGTTGGCAGCTGATCAAAAATAAAGAGCCAATGAGCTGATCACGTCGACATACTCATCTAGAATGACAGTGCGCTTCGGATGGGAGAGGAGAGCAGGTGTCAGAGGACCTAACCACGGCAAGAGGAGAGGGGGCCGCCCCAGGAGGAGCGCAGTGTGTGGCGTGTCCCGGGTGGCCGGCGGCTGGCTCTAGAGAGGGCAGCTGCTGTGCTCCCCGCTGTGAACCCCTGAGCTAAGCCAGTGGGCGGGAGCCATGGTAGAGAGGGTAGAGAACACTTGGGAACAAAGCCCTGGCCTGGAGTGGCGCCGGTCTGCAGCAGCTGTGTCCCTGGGTGAGGTCCGGTCTGTGGGCCGAGCGGGGCTGATGGCTGAGCAGAAAGCTGGAGAGACAAGAGAGTGGCCAGCTCGGCAAACAGAAGCTGGGATCCAAGCACAGATGTGAGTCGGAAGCGAGACCGGACACCGAGGACGCCAAGGCCAGTGGCCTCAGCCGCTCACCTGCTGCCCGCGGGCCAGGCAGAGGGCCGGACCCAGGGCTGGTTTGGGAGAGGACGCGGCGCTGCGGTGAATCCTCATGCTTTCAGGAAATCACGTCAGCATTCCTCAGTCCGCGCTATTCGGAAATGCAGATTGCAAATTTAATTTGTTAATTCACAAGCCTATTTTTTACCTGTTCAATTTAATACCATTCAAATTTGCCAACAAGTGATATGCCAGTTTCCTGCCAGACCACTCGAGACGAAATGGGAACCATCAGTGGCTAAATAGCTTTTCTTGACGTTGAGTGAATTTCCAGTTTCCTATTTAGCAATGATGCATGAATATAACTGACTTTAATAGGAAAATAAGGCCTTTCTACACTTTATCTAACCCAGGTCTCACAGCATTCTGCTCACTAAGGCCTCGGCGTGTAAGCACAGCTTGCTCTGTGAAAGCGTGCAGATCTACAAATAACACACCCATGGGTGTGCACAGTAACCAACCCGCTGTTTTATTTAACATCAATTTGCTTTATGTGGCAAATATACAGGCACAGCAAACATACTTTATTTAATTCTTCTAACAGTAGAAAAGGTTGTGAGAGGTTAAGTCACTTTATATAAATCGCTAATCCACATCTTCTCACACAAAAGCTTCTGCTCCCGCTCCCGCTGGCCCCCAGTGTGTGGCTTTCACGACTGCACCTTTTTCTCGGTGAAAGATGGTCACTGCTTTCCTGTCCCACCCTTTTGACCCTGAAGCTGGGGGGTGTGCTAAACTTGTGGCCAGACACATTAATTATATTTGACGCCCCATTTCGAATGCCCGGGACTGAATCCCGGGCAGGAACCTCGGAAGGCGCATGGATAACGCACACTAGGGATTTATTCCTAAGGGTACCAAAACTTTGGGATTACTTCTTGATAACCACATCAAACACAATTCTTGAGGCTTGGGAAGACAAAAATACTCCTTGGAAAAACAAAAGAAAATTAGCAAGAATTAGTCTGGACACAAAAACACCACAAGAAAAACTGTATAACTATAAGCCCATAAATATATGTTAATAAATTTAGCAACAAAAATATACAGTACCTCACAATGTGACTCGCTGGAAAGGAACGTCACCGCGTACCGGGCAGTGACAGCATGCGAATGCCTGCTCCACGGTGACAGTCAGTGTGCCAGGGAGCCTTTCTTTAGACCGAGTATTAGGGAAGAAAATTGCATACTTGATGTCTGGTGGTTTCTAGTATGCTGTTTTTGTTTACGGGTTGGGGAAATGCCAGTGGTTTCAACAAAATAAGAATAGAAATTGTACATTATTATGAAGTTATTTTAAAAACAACAGATGCAAGGCAGGTCATGGAATTTTTTTTTTGATTGGTAGGCCGGAGAAGGGAATCAGATTCTAAGACGTTCTTGAAGGACCAGGACATGGTTGTTATCTGGATGTCCCTAGCATTCATACTATGACTATCTCCCCTGATGCACACGTCATGGAAACATCTGGGATCCTGGGGTCGTGGTCCTGGTAAGCTCCTGAAGGCTCAGCAGGTTTCTCTCACATGCACCAGGGCTTGTGTGTTTCAGAAATCTCCATGGCGCTAGAATGCAATCCACAAATCTGGTGTTTTCCTTCTGAGCTTTTCTCCCGCTAACGCTGCTCACTGGGCTGATTCTGTTGCCTTCATGCGGGGAGCTTCTTGACTCGTCTGGCTAAGACCTTCAGAGTCTCTGGTAACCCTCAGTATTTCACCTCCCCAATTCTGAGAGAAAACAACTGTAGTCTGCGGGAGGGAGGAATCCCAGCAGTTATGTGCAGGAGGATGCTCTTTGCTTCAAACCCTTGGCACACGTGGCACGCACTGCTTTATGGGCCACATAGGGGACTTAGAGGGTAAGCAGGGGTCATAGATGATGGTGTGGCCACCAGGGAGTCTTAGAATATATATATAAATACATATTTATATAATATATAATACATAATATATAGATATATATTACATATAATATATAGATAATATATATATAATATTTAAGATATAAAAATAATAGACCAAACAGTGACTCACTGCTGTTTCTCAAGAAGCTGTTGCCTAACTGGTTTAAGTAATTTCTCAAGTAGTCTGCTTACTGTAAAGATTGCCTGTAATGACTGAAGGGTAAAAGGCAGCCGTCTCCAAGTGGACATGGCTGTTACCATTTCTCTCATTTTGAACAGTTTCTAGACCACTATATGGTCCTTCTCAATCCCACCTATAAAGTCAGACATCTAACATTTTCATCGTCACAGTTTGGTGGCTCGCTGTGACGGCCGATGGTGCATGTCTGGTGGGGTCACACATGTGAACACACTGACTTCTCCCTCTGTGATCCGCCTGTGCCATCTTGGCTTTTCAGTGACAGCAAAGGACAGGGGCTGTGCCACACGGTGGGTGCAGGTCAGGCCGGGGTGTCCGGTTCACTCATTCTGCCCAGGCCCAAAGGACCGGCTTCGATGCTCCCAGTCGCCCTGGGTTGGGCCACTGTCCGGGCCATCCCCACTGTGGTGGGGACGGGGACTCTCCTCCTCTGTGCCGCTCTCGGCGAGAGGAGCGCTGAGGCTGGCAGGCCCTGACGGGAGAGTGTTGGAGCTATTTCCTCTGGCTCCTTCCTTCCCAGGTGCGCACCTGCTGAGCGCAGATGGTTCTCACGCCAGCCACGACGCTGCACCTGCTGCCGCCCCTCCCCCCAGGATGCCCGCCCTTCCTGGTGGGGTTCGCTCATCGGCCTGGGCACTTTCCACAGGCCTGGTGCTCTCTTGGGGATGTGAGAGCTCTGCTCAGGACTTCCACTTGGGTTACAGTAAAGTCTGAACACCAGTGATAAATGCAGCCCAAGGTGCTTGAGAAAGCCGAAGCCGAGGAGAATTGGGGGGCCAAACAGGGTATCCAGATCCGAGGCAGAGGGAGAGTACTGTGCCCCTTGCAGTGATTCCTGAGAACATCTGTTTGTGAATTCACGTCCCAGAACAGAGCAGTAGTTAAGTTCCTTTGGGACATATCCATTTCTGGTGTCAAGGTGTGCATAGAAGTTTAGGGTATTTTTCCATTCTTTCTGCTGGGCCTTCTCAGGGGCAGGGGACACTGACCTTCCTGGAGGTGGCCTTGGCCTCGGAAGCTTCTCTCTCAGTCTCTGCTGCTGCAGCCACACAATGAGAAGGAACCAGGCACGGCCGGACCAAGCATGTCTTCCAACGGCTGACGGATCCCGCACGACCAATGTTTGATCATGAAGAACTAATGTGCTATGGCAGTGAATGTGTAACAATGATACTTTGTAAAAAACTGGTTATCTGAATGTCAGCTATGCACTAGAAACTTAATATACATGCACTCCATGCTTTTGGCTTTCATGTAAGAATTGGCTTGTCAATAATCTTATCCAAAATAAAAGAGCACTAACGAAAAATCACTTGACAGAAACATAAATAATGGTACAATTACAAATAAATGCTAAAATAAATTTATATTTTTAAACATGTAGGTCAAGTTACATATGGAAAAGCATAAACAAATAGACATTATTACTTCATTGTCCATAATTATTTCCAGTCTATTAGATTATAAATTCCAGATTCTTTTTTTTATTTCACAGCATAACATGATGTGAACAAATACCTGTTTTTCAGAAGAAAAACAGTGCCCTGTGGGTACGGCCGAAAGATGCACGCATCTCTGTAATTTTGGTGCTGCTTTTTGCTAGCCATGTAATTTTGCTTTGATAAATAACACATGGAGCTCTTGGCCTTGCCGGCTGACCACCCCAAAGAAGATGCCTAAAGACACTGTAATATTTGCAAATGAGTTGGGTCAATGACCACAGACAATGCCTGCTCCAAAGCAAATAAACATGCAGAAGGGGGTGGTGGGTGCAGCCCCTGGAGAGCGGCGGGCAGAGGGCAGAGAGAGGGACAGCAGAGGGCCAGGCGGTCAGCTCTGGAGTCAGGGCTTCAGAGCGGGTGAGCTCTGCCTCCTGGACTTCGCCTTCTGCCTACTGGGACCCGCTTTGTTCTGGTTCGGATGGAAAGATACCGAAGAAGTGTTAATACAAAAACCAAGGCACAGCTCTCCACCCAGATCCTCATTTTCCCGCTGTCTAGCTCTTCGATCTTGGGTTTGCCTTTTCTATTCCTTGACTTCCTCATGTGACAAATGTGATAAAACCTGGATTTTAGAGTTGAAAGATACAATCTGTCCAGTAGGACCAGGACTCGGCACAGTACCTGTTGTGTGGTAGGCAGTCTACCAAAGTTAGAAGTCACGCGTCTTTCCACTTACCGTGCTTTTATGGAGTAACTGTTGGTGGCAGGTCCTGCTCTGGGCTCTGAGAGGGCCTTCCCTCTGGGGTACAGTTTCTGCCTCATGCTCACCGTTATGGTTACCACGCTTCCAGGTCCCACCAAACAGGTGCGCACAGCGTCTCAGGCATAGTCAGGAGCTTTGACTGTGCTCCTTGCCGATGGTGAGCACTCTGATGTCCTGGTCCTCTTCTGGCCTCTCTGGCTTCTTGCAGCTTTTGCTGTACTCTTTTCTAAGCTCGCCTGGTTCATGGTGTCTTCCAAGACCACATACAAGGAGCTACTTGCATGGGTGCAGTCAGTGGTCCTTAAACTTGCATCAGACTTGTGTAGCACTCTGATTAACGATGTGTGTCCACTGTGTCTCTGGCTCATTCAAATGTTTCTCCTGTTTCACGGAATGCAGTGTGTAGAACACGTGTCCTTCAGGTCCTGGGGCCCAGCGGCTACTCAGGCAGCGGGCCTGGGGAGTGACAGTGGCCGCCAGCGACCTTGCTTCACTCCTGACCTTTGGATGCATCCCAACAGGGAGTGGGTGCTTGTGGAGGCCACACGCTGGCCTCCTTCCACTTACACCACATTGTCCTCTGCCTCAGGGATGCCCACACCAGCAAAGCTTGAATTTAGCTTCCCGCAGCGTCTGTGGCAGCCCGGCTCCCATTAATGGCTGTGGTGGAAACATGGCCTGATACCACTAATTCATTTTTCATCTGTGATGTTAAATGATAATCAAACACTAAATGGCCTGCTTACAAAGAAAGTATAAACCTCTCGAGCGTCTGGTTTCACGTGCCAAACGTATACATCATGAGATATAACTCAAGGTCGCCAGCCAGAGGGCTTGGAAGAAAAGTCATAATTTAAGAAGTTAAAACAAAGCATGGTTACATTTTACAATTACTTGAAGGTAGAAACTTGTCTTTCCCTTATGCCTGTCAGAGAACAGGGTCAGGGCAGGCCATTCAGAAGAAGCAAAAGCCCCTCTAGGAACCACAGCGCCACACTCACTAACCTTCTAGAGAACCTGCTGGGGAGCTGTCCCTTCCTGTACTGTCGCCAACGGAGTTAAATCAAGTTAAATTAACGGAGGGTCTCACAATCCGCAGAGAACACTTACACTTTGCTGTTTTAAACAGGCAGTACGGAAGTTGCTGAAAACTTGGTCAGCTTCAACGGAAGAAATGGGGATTTCCTGGTACTTCACGCTCATATAAAGGAGATAGGAGGGAAAAGCCAAAGTTGATATAAATCATCGCACTGTTGGGTGGCACAGGCACAGCATGCATGCAGTGAGGACAGTGAAGACAGAGTGGGGCCCAGCACACAGGACCGGTCCTGCCCTGGACTTGCGGGCACTGCCGTGAGCAGCCTGGCCCAGCTGCGAGGCGAGCAAAGACTGACAGTGAATGAGCGGGTGCTGGCCTGGGCTCTCAGAAATGTTCAGATAATTGACTTATTCTCAAAGCAGACCTATGAGAATTTGGAGGCAAAAAACCAGGAGGTGGGAAGGATGGGAAAGAAAGGGAATGTTTAGCAAAGAAAATTCAAAAGTTGTTAAAATGGTTTTTAAATTTCTGTCTTTTGCATTACACATGTCAGGTGATTTGGTCAATGAGAAGGAGATCTACCTAACACTATTGTAAGGGAGATTCATTACCTGGCAATGTCAGAGGAAGCATCTGAGTTACATTAGGTAAATTCAGTACCATCGGAAACTTTGTCCTCGTTATGACTTGTGTCTCAGTGTCCCCCAAAGCCTCGTGTGCTCACAGATGGGGCCTTTTGGAGATGGCTGGATCCATGGTGTGACCCTGAGACTAAGGGTGCTTGGATAGGGTGTAAGGGTGTGTGACAGCTACATTAGTGCCCTGACTCGTCGAGCATGGTCCTGGCAAGGCCCACAGCGGGTGCGGGTGGTACCGCCCAGTAGGCTTGCTGTTAACTGGCTCACTGGGCTTCGTGGTCATCTTGAGAGCACAGAGGTGAGTTCATGATGCAGGGACAGAGATGGGAACACTCACAGCAGCCAGGGAAAGGGACAGAGGGGCCACTGTGCTGGTGCTGGACCACTCATCTCTGATCTTGCTTCTATGTGGAGGAAGTAAGTCCCTGCTCTAATGCTCTTACTTGGATTTTCTATTAAAGATAGCTCAGCTTAATCCCCCGTGGAAACAAATGTGAGTAAGTGATTCCTCAGAAGCCTACCTAAGTGAGAAAGAAAGGTGTTCTCTGCCGACTGCAGTTCTGGTGGCAGGAGAGACTCCACACACCTGACACTGCCCACACGCATCTGTCCCAGCAATGGCATGAGCAAGAAGACTTTCCAGGAGGACTCAGACCAGGTGTTGACATCCCCAAGTGGGGCATGATGCCATTTGCAAGGGCTGGGACAGGGAAGAAAGAAAACTGCATTTGGAAAAGCTGATGTGAGAATGTGATGCCCTGAGTGTGTTCCCACCACTGCTGACCTGGCTTGGACACATGGATTGAAGTCTGCAAAAATGTTCCCAAATATTAACGGCAGCTATCACAGGGAGGTGGGGTTTTAGAATCTTTTTTGCCCTCCTCCTTAGAGTTTAATTTATTGAATGTTTTAAAAAAATTACTGCATATTTTATGCAGTCAGAAAAATAGTTTTATCACTGTGAAAATCAAAGAAAGAAAAGCGAATAAGAAGAAAGGTAGCCGGGATGCTACAGAGAGACACAGAGAAGGGGCGAGGGGAAGTCTGGTTAGAATGGGGGCCATGAAGAGGGCTTCACGGCCCACGAAACGGTCTGCAGAGGGCAGAGTTTGAAGATTCAGATGAGAGAGGGGATATGGGAGGGAGGAAGGCCCAGCAAAGGGGAGACAGGAGAGGGTGGATCCGGAACTGTGTGCAAAGCTGGATCCTGGTGAGCAGGACTCATCCTGACCTCAGTGAAGGAGGCTGAGAGTGGTGAGAGGGATCAGGGGAGAGTGGAAGGATCCCCAGTGGGAGTTTGTGGTTTCTCAGGAAGCTGAGGTGTCTAGGAGCACCTTGGAGGGGCCGCAGTGCACACTCACAGGGGCAGGCAGGAGATGAACTCCCTGGCTAACGTACAATTGGCTGGCCCGGGGGAAGCCTGGCAGTGTTCAGCAGCAGAGCCCACAAAAGGTGTCCAGGTCTGCCCCATATTGGGTGTGAGCTGGAACAAGAATTCTCCACTGGGCGGAACGTGGATGACAGGATAGCTCTTGTGTAACACTTCTATTGTGGTAGAAATCTCGGAAAGTGGAAGCAAAACACAGTCAGTGATACGGGCGTGGAAACCAACCCAGGGTGATCCGTACTGAGCACTTTTTAGAAGTGCAGAATGTGGGAAATAAAAGTGGCTACAATGTAGCTGTTTCCCATCAAGACACTTAGAAGGGAGTCGGGCACGTGCTGTGTGAGCCTGAGTTTGCCCTGGAAATCAGAGATTATAGACTCACCTTGAGATGTGCAGCCGAAGGAAAGGGGCTCAGTGCCTTTTTAAATCCACCAGTGAGGCACTGGCACTTGGCACTCGGCGAAGACTCGGTGGATGATGAGATGACTGCACAGAGAGGCCACAGATACCCAAATAAGCAGGAGGCTTTTGGAGCTACTCTGGCTGTAGCAGTGGGAGCTCCCCTTGAAGGAGGTGCAGTTCTCCGAAGCGGGAGAGAGAAGGCACCCTATGTCCTGGAGCCGGGTGGGTGGGCTGGGGACCAGGCAGAGAGGAGCGCGGTGAGCACTGCGTTGGGAGAGTGGCTGCAGTGGCCTGTGACCCAGGACAGGTCAGCTGGGGTGTGCAGGACATGAGAAAGGCATAGGCATCTTCAGTGCAAGAAACGTGGGCATCACAATTAGTTCTGATGAGAAGGAAGTGGCAGGCTCGTGGGGTGAGGGTGGCACCCAGCAAGGGCACCCAGCACCCTTGCAGACGGTTCTTGCACAGCGGGAGGGGAAAGTGGGAAGCCAGGTGGCACAGTTGGCTAACACACGCTCAATCCAGAGGGCTTCTGTGCCCCTCAGTGCCCTCCTGTCTGCCCCTCAGCCTTGCAGATGATGTGGTGTCTTGGTTTGTGTGCCATCTGGTGCTGGGGCAGTCATCGGCACCAACGGTCTTCAGACTGTGGCCCTGTCCCTCACCGCCTGCAGCCAGGCAGTCCTGGGGGCGTCTCTCCTGTCCCACCCTGATGCAGGAACCATGTCCTCTTTAGTTCAGCAATATTGTTCCTTATTGCTTATCTACGCAGTAAGGTCAACATGTGATGTTTGAGGCATTTGTAGGCAGCAATGCGGTTTTCCACGAGATGCTTTTGTTTTGGTCCTGGAGATGGAACTCACAACCTTATGCTACCAGCAAGTGCTTGCACTGCTGAGCTAAATTCCCAGCCCTCGGTGAGGTGCATTTTATGCAGCGTAGGCTTGCCCCGCCGCCAATGTTCCTTTTGCCCTGAGACTTCTGCATGCTATTCCCAAACCTGCCCCAGGAGCTTTGCTTAAACAGATTTATAACCCCAGCAAGTGTACCCTGGGGGAGAAGAGAGACACTGTTAATTAGTATCTACCAGACCCCATGGGTGACTTATATTTTTCCTTATATTCTCTTGGAACGGTATCCGTTAGTTTCTTACTGTAGCTGTAACAACTTGTCCCAAAGTTAATGACATGCAGCCCCACAAAGGGATCCGCTTGCCTCTCTGGGAGCAGAGTTCTGAAGTGAATCTCGCAGAGGGTGGAGGGGTGGGCAGGCTGGTCCCAAGGCCTCACTCCCACGAATCCCTCCCAGGTCAAGCCGAGCTCAGGGTACAGCTGATCATCCCGTCTTTGTGGCCTGAGCTCGCCGCCCTGGCTGGTCTCGCCTCACGGCTCTCCCTCCCCTCCTGCACGTCAAGGAAGCCTGGATGTGTTTATCCCCGGGACAGCTTCCAGCTCTCTTCCTTCTCTTCTCAGCCCTCTTCCTGTACCCTGCTCCCCTATATATGTACAGATGCACCTGCGAACACCCAGGTGTGCATGCACACACTCACACACCTGTTCCCTTACCACTGCCACATCCCAGCTTCATCCTGAGGTCCCAGCTGAGGCGGCCCCCCATCGACTGGGCATGTTTGTCATGCACTGCTATTGTGACCTGCCCATCCCCTCAACATGGCAACACTCCTTCACTATCATTATTAAATCTGTTCCAAGCCGAAAGCTTGGCTAGGGAACTTGTGCGCAGCCTTGGGCACAGCACGGCTGTCCTTGTGCAGAAGAGCCTCAGCAGCGTGTACTGACTGATGCCCTGTGATGAGGAGTCTCATTTTGGGGATGGAGAGTGAAGACATATCTCTCCTGAAACATAACTTTCAAGAGGATGGGCAACTTTTTCTATGCACACCAGCAAGAACCTGTCTTCTCTCAGAGTACTCTTGGGTTGTGCCTCTGAATTCCAGAAATTTAAAGAAATCTAATCATGGCCCAGGGTTATCGTAGAATACCAGAGAATGCTGGGGCTTGCTTCTTTGTTTTACGGGCTTTGGTGATTTTCATCCACAGAAACTTACAGACACAGAGCCATGAATTCACAACGGGACCTCACTAAGCATCTCTTTGACCTACAGGGAGGGCCGCTGGCCCCAGGTGAGTGGAGGGCTCATCTTACACCTTTGATGTATTATGCCTTCAAAGAAGGCTGGTATTTCTCTTCCCACTAAGTGTTGACCCTGACCTCCTACTAACAAGTATTTCTTTTGTCTGTTCACAAAGTGTTTTCTCTTTCATTACACAAATTTCATTCTGCCGCTGTGTTAAATATGTGTGCTTTTGCTATAGTCGCCCACACCGGGCATGTGCTAGTATCACATCTCCCTTTCTAGTAGATAGTTCTTTAAACATAGAAGACTATTCATTCTTAGCTCACGGAGACTCTAACAAGGGTCTATTCTGCTTCCTGAACCTTCCTGAGCTGAACAATGTGCGCCATATGGCCTCAACAAACACTCCTTTGCAGTGCCTAATTTTTTTGCAGCCAGCTTTCCCTCTTGAATGTATGTGCTCATGTGATTTTGCATATGCTTCTTTTATATAAGATCCAGATTCTTTGCTCTTCTGTTATGTTCTTTCATCACTGCTTCAAGGTCTTTAGCTAAAGTAAAAGATGACAGTGTCATCTACATATTTGAGATGTCTCTGGTCCTTGAGTCCTTCTCTTTATTTGTAGAAACCTTGAAAGTTTCCTCAAAGCAGGGGGTAAAGAGTCTTAGTGAGATACCACCTATTAATTCCACACTGCACACTGACCTTTACCACCTAATTTTCGAGTTAAATGTGACGGTATCACTTGTGAAGCCACGTTTGGGGGCACTTACCATGTGGCTCCTCCATTGCTTCTTTGCAGGGTTCCTAACAAAGCGTTCATTTCCATTAAGTTCAAATTCTTTTCAAATCCCACAAAAGCCATACAAAACAACTTGTTTGTTGTCTATGGTTCACCCTGCTCTGCAGTTTGAAAGCAGATAAAAAATAATGCCCCACTTCAACTACCCACACAGGCTGGGTTACCTGGGTTGCTACACACTGTTTATTATCTGTAAAAAAACAGGTCTCTCTAACCGAACTTGCAGTCCACAGAGAACGTCAATCATAATATTAATCAAATGATTACTAAAGAAGCTGCAGGACTGAGCGAATGAACACCGACTGGCACACGGCTGCACTTCCAAGTCAGTTCAGCCGGCCCCGGCACCCAATTCAAAATGCAAGTGAGAAAACAGAAAAGAAATCCAAACTGCACGGGTGTCAGAATCACCCGGCACACCCGGGAATGCAGACACAAGCGTCGGTCACTCCCGCGGTGTCCGCACCGGACACGCTCCTCCCCGTGGCTGGCCGGGCGCTGGCCGTATGCTCTCCCTCGCTGCCTCCCCGCTCCCTGCCTCAGTCTCTCCCCCTCAGCAAGGCTTGTCTATGCAATGGATTCCACGATAAAATGGCTGTGCGTGGTGGTTCCAGCTGACGACTAGCAGGCGGAGGCTGGAGCGCTGTAGGAAGATGTTTTATTTGCTCCCTGTGGCTGAGTAAGGCATCACTCCAAAATAGCCGCTTAAAACAACAAATATTTATGGCCTCGCAGTCTTGGGGGTCAGGAACCCGGGTGTAACTTAGCTGGGAGGTTTTGACTCAGTTCTCTTCTGAGCTGGGGCCGAGGTCTGCTCTGAGGCTCCCTGGGGCGGGGCAGGAGAAGCACTTTGGGGTTCACTCGCTGGCTGCTGGCCATGGTGGCTTCCAGTGTTGGGCGATGTCAGGAGGTGGGGACTTGGGGGTATTTTAGGGGCCACCTACTGCAAGTTCCAAAGGTGATTCTTGCCTCCTCTCCTGCCCTTAGCATTTACATTTTGCTTATTTTCTGCAGCGAAGCATAGAAGTGATCACTTATTCCTGTTCTGGCACATTGGTAGTGTGGGAATCCTCATGAATGAATGGCTTTCTCTTCCCAATCCCTGCCCCACTCCGCATGTCCTTATTGAAATCCAAATTAGCCCCACTGTGACCCCTCTGCCTACCTCCAGGGATGCCAGTGTATCCCTGGAAGGCAGAGGGTCACGTGCCCAACTGACCCTCTGACATTTCTCAGGTACACAAAATACACCACCTCCTCGGAGAGCCATCACCCCTTGTCCTGAGTTCTCTCTCATACCACCCTCTGTGCACTTGGAGAGGCAGTGTAGTCAGATGCTCAGTCCTGCGTCACTGGGACCAAAGCTCCCCGTATGTACAGCTTCAATGAGAGGCTTTAATTTTTGCTCACGGTTTCAGAGAACTCAGTCCATGGTTGGCTGCTGAGGGAGGAACCCTCTGCTGAAGGTGTGGGGAGCAGGACCGCTGAGTTCACGGTGGCGGTAAGCAGAGTGGGGAGCAGCGGCAGAGAGCGAGGGGCGAGGGAGCAGCCCTAGACCCCGTGGTGGCACTCCATGACCCCCCAGGAGTTGCTCCACCATGCCCCCCAAGACAATGAGGATGACAGTCAACTTAGTCATCGCAGCCTGCAAAGCTCAGAATTGCACATTCGTAAAGCTGACACTCGCTGTTACGTACTTGATTACTTTTCATTATGTAAGCGTTTCTGGTTGTTATTCTCTTTCTTCTTCTCTTACACGTTGCGCATCAGTGTTGTTTGTGGGACACGTCAGGACAATGTCGGTGGAATTGCTCATCTGCTCCCTTCCCACCCTGTGACTTCCTTCAACCTGAAATCCCGTCTGATTCCTCGTGGGCTCCTCCAGTGCAGGACCGACACGCATCACTTTTTAACACAGACTTTTGGACTTCAGACCAAGTCTGAGTACGAATGGTGGCTTATGTTTTCAGTTTTTCTTTTACCTCTCAAGAGTCTAGGAGCACAATGCCTCTTGTGAAAATGCTCAACATTTTAATTTTGACTTAACTTGAATAAAGTAGCCATCCGGACCCCCTACTGTTGCCTAACTGTGACTTTTTCCTCATTTTTATGTGGATATGCATAAGAAATCTGGACCTTCTGCCATACAGGTCAAGACGAGCCTGCCTAAATAAGAGTGGACCCAGCCTGTCAACCTTAGCCCAGTCCTAATTTTCCTTAGAGCATCTTCTGTTCTCCTGTGACCTCAGGGATGCATTTTTACCCTTATATTAAAAAAATACACAATTGTTTTTTAAAAGCACAAGTAATAATGCCTAAATATTAGTAAAGATGATAATAAATTATGGAAATGTTGCTTCAGACAAATAACAAAAAGGTGAGGAGATACTAAAATTTTTCACAACAGGGTTTCTCTGAATCTTTTTTCTTTCCATGCAAAATTATTCCAAACCTATGCTTGGAGAATGAGAACCTCGGTGCATGCTGTCTGGCTTGGTTATGCATATAAGGTAAAATATGGAGGATTCAAAAATATAACAAGGAATAAAATCAGAAAACCTCCAATGATTATTTTTGATGTTTTAAAATGAAAAGAGAAAATGGCGGCTAAATAAAAACTAAGTTTTTCATTGCGTTGAAAGTACACAAACTAAAGAGCAGGGCTCCGTGCCACATTTAGAAATTGTTTAGAAGTTGAATTCATTAAAATATTTTATAGTTCAGTTAGTGTTGTTTCAGAAGGGAGTTCCAAGGAGAATTCAAACAAGAGACATGCCTAGGTGTTCAAGAAAATATGGGACCGGTTTTAAAATAACTTAGTTTACTAAAATGTAAAGTATAAATTCTCATTTGGAGTCAGTTTCTACCAGCTGTCTTGCAAGTATTTATGATTACAGCATAAAGCAATCTAGAAATGAATAAAGGAGTGTGACTCACTTTCTATAACATAGCTCAAAGCTGGTGGATTTGCACTCGAGGTCTGTGTTAGAGACACATTTCCCTGTGATCATCCTGCAGGCTGAGAATTGCAGTGCTGGACAACACTGCTGATGGGAGAAGGTAGGAAGACATACAGCAGGATGTCTCCTTCCGAGCGCTGCGGAGAGTGCATCCTTCCAAGCTCTCGCATGTACAAGCACACTCTGTGCTGTCAGTGTCCCGAGACCACATCATGTCCCCACGGGAAGGGTCAGCCTGAGGTGACGGCTCCTGTGTCCCTGAGTCTACTATGGTGACCCTCAACCCCAAGCAGTGGAAGAAAGCAGGACCCTGAAACCTTCCAGAAAATATAAGGCAGGAGTGAGATGTTGAATGCAGTAGCCACTAATTGAGATGGTTGCAGAGAGGCTGGAGAAGCTGGCCGATGGACGGGCAGGCCAGGAGGGACCCGGAGCTGGAGCTGTGCGTGGTTGGCTGATACAGACAACAGCAGTGGACCAGGGATTTTGAAAATTTAGCAGCAGGAATTGGAATGTTTTCACCATAAAGAAGTGATGTTTGAGAAGTCAGACATGGTACCCTGAGTTAAACATCACATGATGCACTGAAACATCACCTGGTACCCCATAAACACCCGCCACCTTTATGTTTTTATGAATTAGTTAAATTAGGAGAGAAACAGTAAAACCCCCAGAGAGAGAGAGAGAGAGAGAGAGACAGAGACAGAGACAGAGACAGAGAGACTGGTAAGAGAAAGAGCAAAATTGCCAGCGCCTGCAGTTGGTCTTCAGCTCCAGTGTTAAGCGAGCCGGGAGTGTTTACCGTCTTTTAAAGCACTGCTCCTGGAGTCTGATGCTCTTGGTCTGTCTCCTGGAGGTTTGCTGATGCCACAGTGAGCCTCCCATCAAAGTGACCCTTGCCTCCTCTCCCGGAGACAGCCCAGCACTAATTGAAGGGTTCTAGAAAGGCTCCACCTTAGAGCCTTAGAAACACATACTTACCTGTGACGCTGGACCTGAGGCAGGAGGATCAGAAGTTCAACCCCAGCCTGGGCAATGTAGTGAGATCCTGTCTCAAAAAAATGGAGGAGTTTGGTGCATAGCTCAGAGTGAAGGTCCCGGGTTCAGTCTCAGGATCGCAGACAAAAAATAAATATAAAGAAAGCAAAAGGTGGGGCTGGAGATTTAGCTCAGCGGCATAAGTGCCTGCCTTGCAAGCAGGCAGTCGTGAGTTCGATCCCCGGTACGGATAAAAAGGAAAAAGACCAAAAAAAAGCAAAAGGTGATTCCTGCTGGACATTTCTACCCCTCACCATCAGGACTGAAGGAGTCTTCCTCTATTTCCCCAGGTTCCGGGAGACTTTTCTGTCTCAGCCCTGTTGAAGGAGAAGGTCAGAAATGATAAAATTTGGGGTCTTGGAAAAATTACATATTTGCAGTTTTAGAAAGGAATTTGTAGTTTTTGTGTTGTACTGAGGTAGGACGTTACTGAGCACTGTTCCTCTCAGTCCGAAGGTGCTGATTTTAGGTAATTTAGTAGGATCGATAATTCAATATTGTTTATTGGACTATTTAAGTCCACTTGATATAGGAAATATAATCCAAATGTGCTTCAAATGCAGCATGTGGCTTTAACTTCTCGCCCTCCGTCTTGTTTTCCACCTGAATCTTTCGTGTATGTTATGTGAGCGCCGTGAACCGTACTTCGGAGCGGAGTGCAGCCTCGGGCCGGCTGCAGTACGGGGCAGCCAGCGGGGAGCAGATTTTTGAAGAGAAAACCTTTCCATTCTCATTACCAGGCTGAGGCTGTCACCAGGGTGTCATGGCCTGCGAGAGGACAGGCTGCCGGGCGCTCGTCCCCAAAGGCTGCACCTGGACTTGCAGTTTCCTTCTGCTTGGAACCCAGAAGGGGCAGGAACATGGGTTTCTTTTGGGGCCTGTTTTGGTTACTGTAGAAATGGCAGTTTTCCTGGTCAGGCTGTCCTGTTTATCAGCTTCACGTAAGGGCTACTGTAGGCGGGAACTGGGTAGAAGGGTGCCAGGGGTGTCGTCTTGCATGACCTCGTGGTCACCCTTTTCTTTATGGGCTCCCAGATGCGGAGACCAAAAGGACACAGCCTTGCTTCTTGCTCTGTTGGGGTCGGACTCTTGACCTGGACCCTGTGATAAGCACTGCTGATGGCACTGGCAGGTGGCATCAGCGTGGAGTGTCCTACCATATGCAGGGTGAGGGATGGGTACAGAGGTGGGCGTGGGGATGGGGTTAGGGGTGAAGGATAGGTATGGAGGTGGGGGTGTGGATGGAGTGAAGGTGGGGATGGGGGTGGGGATGGGGATGGACTGGGGGATGGAGGCGAAGGAAGGACTCCAGTATGGACTCTTGTGGCCAGTGGCCAGGGCGCATAGCTCAGGGCCTCCTTGCGGGAGGGAGCCACTGGTGGGTAGCAACTGTCCAGCCCAGGCTTAGCTGGTGACAGAGGAGCTCTGCTCTCCTTTCCCGAAGCGCACCTCCCCATGAACTCTGATTGCAGGTCTTTTTGGAAAATATAACTATTTTTCTCCTGATCTTAAAGATGTTTTCGTTTTTCATATTAATATCTAAAAAAACTCAAAACAAATAAAAATGGAAAGTAAAGAGTACTCCCAATTTCTCCGCTCCTCTGTACCACCTTTTGTTAGTTTTCCTTCAGATCTGCTTCTTTTGCCTACACGCGTGTGTGTCTGAACCTCTGCCTGTGAATCGGTATGTGGACAGGTGTGCATTTATACAGCTGCGTACCTACAGAGGAGCATGTTTACAAATAAAAGACCAGGAGTGGTTACAGATTGCTCTGTTTCATAGCGTTTGCACTTAACACTTTGCTGTGACTGTTCACAAAGCCGGCTCGCACTGGCCAGCCCCGTGTCAGGGACAAAGCTGGCCTGTCCTCCCCTCTGCCTTGTTGGAGATATCGGTCCCGTGTCGTGGCCAGAGTCACCGCCAAGTACCGCTCACGCCTGCCTCCAGGGACTGCTCTGGTGCCTCCAAAGGGAGCCTCAAGGGCACTTGCTGGGTCAGAAGAAGTGGAGCTCTTCTGGAACTGGAAATCTGCCTCCCACAGGCAAACACTGCATCGGCTTGCAGAATCATCAGTCTCCTTCCCCCAAGCGTCCACTGACATATGGTATTTTAAATAAATTTAAAAATCTGATGGTGACTGTGGGTGGAAGCATAATTTTTTAGGTGAAAAATGTGGTGTCTTTTTTTGTGAATCCACTATTAGTTTGGAAAAGATGTTTAATTTGTTTTATAATTTGATTCTTTTTATTATATTAGTTCCTTAGATTTCTAGAGGGAAATCTGGACACTCAGTTTCACCAAATACTTGTTTGTCCTTTATTATTTTCTCTTCTTTTACTTAAAAAAATAAATGTTAATATGTTCTTGCAGATATGAAATCTATTTAAACTGCACAGCCGTAGATGTACTCTGGTTCCTTAAGGGTCCTGAACAGTTGGGGACTTAGGAAAGGGAGTTCTTACTTATCAGATTTCAGCTTTATTCTCTGAATATTCAAATACATTTGTCAACTTCTTTCAGAGGAGAAACTGAGACTGGGGAAGGATGATGGTAAATCTGGAAATATAATTCTAATCTTTTGAAATCTAAAATGGCGACCCAGAGCGATGGCCTGGGGCTCTCGGTGGAGACCTAGGGAGCTGGGTAGGGGTGAGAAGCCCCTGCATCCACTCCCAAGCTGAGGGCCAGGGCTGTCCCCAAGGCTCCCAGGAGACGCGAGGGGATAGTTAAGGCCGAGAAGTGTCAAGGCAATGGGATTCAGGTTCCAACCCACGGTCTCCCTACTCCACTGTGGCACCTCAGGCAAATCCTACAAAATGCCCAGGCCTTGGGGGAGGCCAGGGAGGACAGAGCTGGACCGTCCAGCCTCTCTGTGGCGAGCAGGGTTCCTCCCACGGGCCACAGCATCCCAGGTACACAGCGATGGGTTTGATGGAGCAGAGATGTGTGGTTTATATACAGAATATATCATTTGAAATTAAAATAGAGGGAGTTTTAAGTGATTTCACTTCAGGGTCCTTGCTAAAGGCCGGGTAACGCTGCCAGTTCTTCTGTGAGAATTACAGATTAGCAAAGTGAGATTTGTAGCAGTTTGGCTGTAAAGATATTAAAAAGTCTAGTAAGTTTAAGTTATTTTCACTCCAGGAAACTATAATCATTTGAAAGATCAAAGAACAAGAGTGAAATTTAAAATAAGATCCCACATTCGGCGAGCACCATGTTGCTGGTGAGAGGGGGCCGCCTGTGTACCTGCGTGATGTTGTTCTAACCGGCGAATCTTCTTACTGAAAGCTTGCAGTAGCTGCTGTGCTGCTTTCAACCTGAAAGACTGGAAAACCTGCTGGCACATATTTTTGTTGCTGTTGTTGTTGTAAGGAAATCATCACAAATCATTCCTCCATGGAAATGTGGGTGTGTTGCTGGCCATCAATATTAAAATGTCACTGACCCCCTTTCCTGTCCGCCTCTCAAGCGCTGGGTAAATGCTATTATTTCTTCAAGGGGCCATTTGCACAAGAAGTCTAGAATTAAGAGCTTGCTGATCAAATCACTCCAAAGAAAATATTTTAACGTAGCCTTTCGAAGTGGAGTCTTAAACAAAGACGGGCACCTAAGAAGTGTGCCGGCTGAGCTTATCAGGGCTGACGTAAATCGACGTGAATGCCATGGCCTTGTGATTGAATCTTGGTTGATGTGCATCAGTATTAACTTTTCATGCACCAACTGTCCCCTGCAGAGTGTGACAGTGGAGGGCCGGAGGGCAGGGGTAGCCCGCGGATTTCTGGCCCAGCTCTTTCAGGGCGGCTGGTGGAGAAGGCAGCATGAAAGATGGAAGAACCAGCTTCCTCATGAAATTTAAATTGTCGAAATTCATCAGCTAAAGTCACTGCTTTTAGCTCCCCTGTCTTACCGGTATATTTTTCTAAACTAGGGCAAGTAAACTAAAATTCATAATTTATAAACAATCTGTGGAAAAATTAGTGAATTATTTACAACACTTTTGAAAAATGTGTTTGTATCCTACACCAAAAAAATTAGCTACTCTGTTAATCACTGTAGTGCCACAAATGTGCTGGAAATTAGGACTTGCAGAATGAGTTTGGATAAAGCGGTCCTGTAACTCAGGCTTCGGCTGGAAAGCCACGCCGGTCCTGATGGTCTATTTAAACAAGTGCCACTTATTGAATAATTCTCTGACCTAAACAGAAAGTTATTGTATATGGAAAGGTTTTTTTTCCCATAGAGTTCTTTCTTCCAGATGCCCTTTTAAATTGTTTTTAATTCTCTGTGGGCAGTAGATAACCAAACCTACAGAACCAGGAATGGCAGGGAGGAAGCAAGCACGCTGGCCACTTCTCCTTCAGAGCCGTGGCGGGGCGTCTGTTCTATATGAACTGCAGTCTGGGAGGACTTTGACAGTCCATAGACCAGGCCTAATTTATTAAACTAAGTTTCTAATATAAACAGTAATTTGTTTCAGGCACTGACACTGCAGGTCTGGATTATGTGAACCCAGTAGAAAGAGCTGTATTTCCTTTCTGCAAAGAGTGCGCCTTTGGAGCACTGGGGGAAATAATCTAATATGTCATGATAGGAAACACGATGGGCTCAGCCGCGCCTGAGCAGGCGCTGATTCGCGCCATGCTTTCTAAATTTTCCAGGAGTTTCTTTAAAGGACCGAAGCGTGGTTTGTGAGCTGGAATGTGTATCTGTGCATCGTGCTGGATAGGGCGGGAAGGAGGGGAGATTACTGGGGTAAGTTCAGGCTTTGGTTGGTGCGCAGATGGTTTAGGATGTTCGTGAAAACACCCTCGCTCTGAGGTCAGTCGCTGGGTTATGAAAATGTGACGACCCCTTATCAGTTGGGTTATTTTACAGTGTTTAGTGGAACAAGCATTCATACACTTACGTTATTAGTGTAGTACTGGCACTTAAATTTAAATACGCTAAATGTAGATCTCTTTCAGTACTTAGGAAGGTCTGTGTCAATCAGGCCAAACAACATGTGGCTAGATGTTTAAGTGGCTGAATCCTCTGTGTTTTGTGAAGGCCCGGAGATGATGGATACTTGCACACACCCAGTACCTAATATTGACTCATTTATGTGCTGCTGATTTCTGTGGAAGTCTGTGCTTTTCCAGGTTAGGCTGTGGCTGATGGGTGGCACGTTAGCTTGAATGACTCTGTCCACATTTGGCTGTGTTTTAGCCCACTTCCACCGCATAGCATGACATCGCTCTCATCTTCAAAGGTGACTAAGATACCAAGGGCATTTTACCTTGTACAACAAGAAGTGCGACAGGAGGCGGGCACTTC